TCTTTAAATTTATTTTCAAATTTTAGACTTATAGTTTTAATTCTTTTTATTTATGGGGGGAGAGGCAAATATTGTATCTTAAGAGAATACTTTTTTTATAAGTAGCAGTTCTCTGAGGGAATGAATAGCTATGCAACTCCTGACAATTAAGAACCCTCAGAAGGAATGTATGGCAGGATTGAAAGGTGTGTGTGTGTGTGTGTGTGTGTGTGTGTGTGCGCGCGCGCGCGTGTGCGTGTGCATGTGCAGAGAGCAAGAAAATGTGACAAAAATGGCAGTTTCTTATTATTTTAATTTTTCTGTAGATGTAATTTGTTTCAAAATAATTTTTAAAAGAGATTGAAAAAGGCCCAAATGACAGTAAAATATAAGTCCCAGAAGAAAAGTACAAAGTACTTATTAAATAAAAATCTCTCAATCCACAGTGATAGTTTTTTAAAAGAGAGAACAAGAAAAAGTGATGAAACTTATTAGCCACCTTTGAAAGGGATTATTGCACAAGCTGTACTCTAAAAGCTAGTCTTTAAAAGAAAATATAAGCTTTACCTTGTTTTTGTAGGAGGAACAAAGGTTCATCCCTAGTTAATGAGGAAAAATGGTATTCTCCTTTTTTCAGGAGAATACCAACTAATAAATAAGATGAACTGATAAAATTAGGAAAGGAAATCAACATTTTGAAACTTCTAATGAAGTGAGTGATTCAGGCAAGGATCATTAATGAATAAGGTAAAAATTCACTCAATATAAGGTGTTGAAGTACTACCCCCTAGATACTTAATAACTACAAAGAGAACAATATACCTATACAATGGAGGATTTGGAGGTCACCACCCTTAAGTAATCAAGCATCAGCACAAGTGCAACAACCTGATATTCTATGCTGCCTAATGTAATACCATGTGAAGTACAATATATAATCATTAAGTCTGTTTCCCAAAAATGAGTCTAATCAACTTTTACATCTACCTTGTTACCAGAAATACAGGACTTAGTGGAATGACTTAAACACAAGGCAACAAACTAAACAAATACAGAGTGTGTGGTATTCTATAAAATAGCTAGCATAGTCTCTTCATAAAGTTAATGCCATTTAAAGGGGGGCGCGGAGGTGGGAGGGCTATTCCACTAGAATCTAGTGACTAGATCATAAGAGAGTAGAGACACTATACCAGATTTAGTATGTGCCCTCACAACTCATTCCAATGTTTGCCTCCAAACTGTCACATCTGCCTTCACCTTAGCAGCCTTAGCAACACCTTGTGCCTCTGGACTCTTGTCCACCTCTCATCTCTCACCTCCTCACTTGAAACTTTCCTGTTAATCACAAAACTAAAAACCATATTCCCTGCACCCAACAAATCCACATCCTTAAAGTTCAGGGGAACTGATGCCAGTAGATAAATTCTTTCCCTTTCTTTCCTTCGATATATGGCTTCTCAGGGATGCAAGTTATATATTTATGATTTGTGCACCTTTATGTACAAATAACACAAAGTACTTAAATAATTTTAAGTCAGTGTTTAGAGTACTTCAGATTAAACCTAGTAGACTAAATATATGCTTTTAACTCTACTATCTCCTAAAACTCTACATAAATTAAAGCAGATGGATTGCTTTAAAGCATTAAATCACAAGGTCAAAAGGGAAAGGAGATGCCCTCACTACATTACTCAGTTAATTTCCCTCCCCTGAAGATGAACTCAGAGGACTGAAATAGGGAGCCTGGAGACAGCAGGGACAACTGAAAACAAGAGAATATTATACACTGAAAGTGGACTAAGTGTATAATATTCCAGACATATCTAACCTCTCACTTTTTTCAGTTATATTATACTTGCTGCTATGCAACCTGCTTTCAATAACTGAATAACACATAGTGGGTAAACAGATAATATTTTTATGCCTGCTATTTTATACTGCATTAAATGGCTACACCATAATGTATTTATACAGTTTCTTACTGATATTTGTATTTCTTCCTTGATGGTTTTTACTAATATCAAATATTGCAATGAACATGCACATATATACAAACACACATATATGTCTTTTAATATATATCGATAATTTGTAAGTACATTTGGAACATATGCTAGATCCAAGGATATGAATATGTACTGTCAAGCTATCTTTCCAAAAGGTTACACCACTGTATTCTCCTATCAACAGCACAAACGTTTCTCTTTCCTTGCTTAATTAATCTTTGATAATCAAATTAGAATATTCCCATTGTCAATTTGCATTTTTTAAAAATGAAGTTGAGCATCTCTTCATAGGCTTATTGGTCCATTTGTGTTTATTTTTCTCTAAACAGCCCATTCACATTCTTTAGTCACTTTCCTATTCAATGTTGGCTTTTTCCTATTTGAAAACAGATAACATTTTGTTTTTAAACTAAACTCTTAAAATCAGAAATATCATTCAACAGACACATACCAGAGTTGAGAAAAATTTTTTGAAAAAAGAAAAAAAAGCACTGAGAAAATTAACTTATTTTCTACAGAATCCTAATAGAATTAAATGTTTTAATTAGATAGTAATTTACTTGCTTTCTTATACTTTGTCATCTTCTCTAGTTTACTGGCTTTTTTTCTTACTGATCTGTAAGAGGTTTCCTGAGAGGGTTGGAAATTAGTCCTTTTCCACAAATATGACAACTTCCCCCCAGTTTATCATTTCTCATTTTATTGTATCTTTCAAGATACAGAAGTTCTATAATCAAAGTTCAAACAATCAAACTTTGTGAAGCCCACAAACAAATTCTACAAAGTCAGCATTCTTAACCTTTTCTTTTAATTTTTCTGGGTTTTCTTTGTTGTCATGCTTAGAAAAGCTTTCCTTATCCAAAAATCATTTAAAAGTTTATTTTTAAAATTTCATTTTTTAAATATATATATTTTTATTTCAGAGAGGAAGAGTGAGTGAGAGATAGAAACATCAATGATGAGAGATAATCATTGATCAGCTGCCTCCTGCATGCCCCCCACTGGGGATCAAGCCCTCATGTGCCCTTAACCGGAATTGAACCCAGGACACTTCAGTCGGCAAGACGACACTCTACACTGAGCCAAACTGGCTAGGGCTATAATTTCATTTTTTTAACCTTTGAACTTTTGATCCACTTTAAATGTACTATATTATCAGGAACAGGATTACCACAGATTGAATTTAAATGTCCCCCAAAATTCATGTTGAAATTTTAAGCCCGAATGCAATGGTATTAGGAGGTACTTAGGTCATGAGGGTGGAGCCTTCATTAATGGAATTAGTATCCTTATAAAACAGACCCCATTTCCTTAATGTGAGGACACAGGGAGAAGATGGCTGGCCATCTATGAACCAGGAAGCGGGCTCTCCCTAGACAAAGAATCTGCTGGTGAGTTGATCTTGGACTTCCCACACTCCAGAACTGTGAAAAATAAATTTGTGTTGTTTATAAGCTATCCAATCTATAGTATTCTGTTATAGCAGACATGATAGTGCACCTTTTTCTGTTGGAATTTCTCATTAAATTAGGCAATTTCTCTTACCCCTACTTGCATCTTGCTTCCTTTCAAATACTCTACTTTACAATCTCTAAAAGTAGCACACTTCTTTTAGAATTAGGATTGTTTTTATGAAAATGACACATGCTCATTATTTTTTTAAAAAGTAATAAAGTATAAATAAGAAAAAAAATCATCACCCAGAAACAATCATTCATATTAAACAAATATTATTCCAAACATCTCTCTAGACATATGTACAAAGTAAAGGGCACACATACCAAAAACAAAAAAAGTTATATGAAAAGGGGATATAACCATATCACTTTAAAAATCAAATTGTATTATTAATTAACATTTAAAAATCTATTTGAAATGGACTATTATAAGCACAAATGATATATCAACTAAAGGGAATGGAAACTAAAATTATCCAAGAGAAAGTGATGAAAAATATAAAGGAGGAAAATAAGGACACAGAAAATACTACACTAGAATTTCTAATCAAAGGGAAACACAAGGACATATCAAGATTAGTAAAGAGAACTGTGAATTGCATTTTAAGAGGTCTGAAATCCAAAGGTAGACTTTCCCAAACTAGCTGAATAAGCTAGGTCTCAGTTTTTCTTCTGGATCTCAGTTTCTTCATCTTTAAAATGAAGTAGAGGGATAAAATGTTTTGATTTTTCTTGCTCTAAAATTCCGTTTTGTTGCGTAACATAAACAAGAAACTGAGAAACTGTCTCATTCATTGCCAAAGGGCTGTCTGATTGCTGCCCACCACTACTTGTTCCTGATTTATTACACACCAAACAGAAGCTGATTCAATTTTCCAGGCAATTCTCTAGGACTAACTACAAGGGACTAGAATCATATTCAATCAGACAACCACCTTCAAATGACTAATGTTTCTCAGACAGAATCTTCATTACAAAATGCTTCGTATCTCTGTTATGTCACGTCTAACTCTACCAGCAACAATATATAACAAAAAAGAACATTATGAAAATAGTTATGAAAACTCGACAGTTTTAATTACAGAAAAATATAGAAACCAATGCTGACCTTTGGATTTATTGATCAGTCTCTAAAATTTTAATAATACAATCTTTCAGGACAATAAACAGAATCCTTAGGATAAATGTAGCAAGTAAACTGCCCAGGACTACAAAACTATATTCAACTTCTAAGAAAGAATACCAGAGCAAAACTATTTTTTCAAAGTACATATAGTTTCTATCTAAGTATCACACAGATAGAGCCTCATTGAAGTCTATCATACAAAGTATTTTTTAATAGTCTAAAGCCAGTATTTCACACCTCAAACCATTTACACCATTTTAAGACCAGGGCACCAGAGATTCTGAGCTTTTCTTTTCAAAAGTATTTTTAATCCTATCCTCTTTATTCCATTATAAATAGTAGTTCCACAAAGTGTCCATTTTAATTAAATGAAAAAAAACTTAGTAGCCCTAAACAGCTTAAGGGAAAAATTTTTTATCTTACCTCTATACTAGGGCTAAGGCTGCTTGGCAGTGTTTCTGAAGTCACAGTAGTGCTTGGAAGGCTGGAAATTTCCCAAGTATTCACAGGCTGTATTGGTTCAGACTGCTTTGAACGATCTATACATTTTGGATTATCCAGTAAGGTCACTTCATAAAATTCTTGAATATCTACAGATGAGGGAAGGAAAAAAAAAAAAGTATTTATATTTTCTAATTAAACTATGCATTGATTGCTAAAACAACATAATCCAAAGGCAAAAATTTTACTCTAGATTAGCACAGTAAGTCCAACCTTATAGCATGCTTAAACAGTAAATATGTTTCACTTTATTATATCACAAGCATATCAGAACCTGCAGGGCACAGAGTAAGTCATAGGCTTTTTACACTTCAAAGTCAGTACTGAGTTAAATAAAATACCTCCTTTTTCACCAATTAGCTACATATTTAGGCAAGTTACTTATCTCTGATAACTTGCCTTTTATCATTATGAATTGTTACAAGGACTGAATAATACATGCAAAGTGCACAATGGCACATAATAAGCTCCTAATAGAAAGCAGCTAATATTATTATAAATTCTGCATATATGACTTATTACTGATATTTTATATCTTTGTACCACCAATATCCAGGCTGGGCATGTAAACCTCTTAAGTGGTTTTAATGGCTCTTCTAACCAAACGATAACAAAACAAAAAATAAGTGAAAATAAAATCAACAAACTAGAAGCATTTTTAGATATCTCTAGTCTGGATATTTAGAAATAGCTAAGTTAAACAGTTTATGTTATTTTAGAAATAATCAGTTAAAGGTCTGACAAAACTCTAAAAGAAATCATAAACATACTAATAGCAGCACAGGATAATTCAGAATATCATGTTACTTTGTTATCAGCTGGAATTATATAAGCTTGATACATTAACACTGATTATTCATGCTGCTCAGAAGCTCTGAGTGATAGTTTATTCTATATTAGTTTACGACAGTTAGTTCTTTATTCACCTACTGGTTTAATTTTAAGTTGATTTTTTTAAAGGAGGGAAATTAATATCAGCAAAGGTGGCCATTGTTCTGTATAGAATTACACACAATAACTATAAATAACATAGATGGAATAACTTTTACTTCTTGTTTCTCAGAATGATGAAAAGATTAGTATTTCCTTTAAAAACATGTGATAGTAGAGACAAAGTAACTCCCTTTTCAGTTTTAATAACCAGTGGAATTGTACAACTTTCTAAGTAAAGGGCTAATAAAAACTAACGTCTACACAATAAAGAAAATAACCGACTTCAAAGGATGTCAAGAATATTACTAGAAAAAATTGTATATGAAAGCATTTATAAATCATAAATCACTATATAAAACTATTCACATAACCATCACGAAAATAAAAAATTCAAATTCAGAGCACTGGCTACAAAGTGTTCTTACCAAAATTTGTTTAACCTGAACCTAAAGCAAGTCTTTAAAATCAACTTCTAGTTCACAGGAAATAAAGGGGATAGAGGAACAAATTATATGACACCAGGAAAGCAAGCAACAAAACAAATCGGGAAGGGGACATTCTACAAAAAAACTGGCCTGGTTTCTGTAAAAAATTAATATCATGATAGAGAAAAACTGTTTGAAAGCAAGAATTTTTCTGTATAAGAGAAATGAAAAAGACATAGCAACCAACTACAACATCTGAGCCTTGACAAGTATGTGTGGTGGGAGGAAGAGAGAGGAGCTATAAAATACATTGTAACAAATTCGGAAATTCAAATATGGACTATTTTCCAGAAAATATTAGGAAATTTTTTTTTTTTTGTAGAAGATATATGTGTGAGAGTATGTGTTTATTTATGTAGTAGGGCATATATTTCTATATATGTAAGATATATATTTTATATGTGTAGGAAATATCCTATACTAGAGGCCCGGTGCATGAATTTGTGCACCAGTGGGGTCCCTTGGCCTGGCTTGTGGGATCGGGCCAAAACCAGCTCTCTGACATCCCCCAAGGAGTCCCAGATTGCAAGAAGGCACAGGCCAGGCCGAGGGACCCCACCGGTGCACGATCAGGGTCAGGGAGGGACACGGGAGGTTGGCCAGCTGGGGAGGAACCACGGTAGGGCTCCAGGGTGTGTCCAGCCCATCTCGTTCAGTCCCGATTGGCTGACCCCAGCAGCAAGCTAACCTACTGGTCGGAGCGTCTACCCCATCGTGGTCAGTGCATGTCATAGCGAGCAGCTGAGTGGCCTTAGCATATCATTAGCACATTACTCTTTGATTGGTTTAATGGCTGACCAGACACTTAGCATATTAGGCTTTTATTATCCTATCTAATAATAGACAAATAGGGTAATTGACTGTACCTTCGCTACACCTCCCATTGGCTAATCAGCGTGATATGCAAATTAACCGCCAACAAAGATGGCGGCTAATTTGCATACGTAGGCTCCAAGCGGCGGAGCAAAGACTGAAGGTGAGCTGGAGCAGCGAAGACGGAGGATGGAAGGCGGCTCCGGCCAGAGCGAAGGCCTGGGTCCCGGGTGCCAGAGGAAAACCGGTGCCCGCAGCCAGGAGAAGGGAAGGCCTATTGCACGAATCTCTTCATAGAATAATAAATTAATCTCTAGTAGAATAATAAAAGCCTAATATGCTAAGTGTCCGACCTAATGGTCGACCACTCAAGCAGTTGCTATAATGAGCACTGACCACCAGGGGGCAAGTGCTCCAACCGGTAGGTTAGCTTGCTGCTGGGGTCCAGCCAATTGGGACTGGGCAAGAGGTCCAGACACGCCCTGGAGCCCTCCCACAGTCCCTCCCCAGCCGGCAGGCCCCCACCGGCCCCGATCGGACCCGATCACCAGCCAGGCCGAGGGACCCCACCCATGCACTAATTCATGCACCGGGCCTCTAGTATATTTATAACTATCAAGAGAGAGGGGGGAGAGAGAGATAGACAGACACAGGTATTTCCTACTAAAAAAACAAAAATAACAATAACAACACGAAGAAAATCCAGAACTCCTAGTATAGTATTTGCCTCAAGAGCACTAAATGAGTATTAATTGGTTAGTTACCAATCTTTAGCCCACATCACTACATAAAATTATTACTGTAAATCAAATTTCAAATCTTAAATTTCTATGTGACCTTTCATTCTATAACTAGAGGCCTGGTGCACGAAATTCGTGCACTCAGGGGTCCCTCAGGCCAGCCTGTGCCCTCTCACAGTCCAGGAGCCCTCGGGGGATGTCCGACTGCCATGGAGGCAGGAGAGGCTCCTGCCACCACCACTGCGCTCACCAGCTGTGAGCCCGGCTTCTTCTGGCTGAGTGCTCCTCCTGTGGGAGCGCACTGACCACCAGGGGGCAGCTCCTGCATTGAGCATCTGCCCCATGGTGGTCAGTGCGCATCATAGCGACCAGTCATTCCGCCATTGGGCCGAAACCAGCTCTTGGACATCCCCCGAGGGAGTCCCGGATTGCGAGAGGGCACAGGTCAAGCCGAGAGACCCTACCGATGCACAATCGGGGCCGGGGAGGGACGCGGGAGGTTGGCCAGCCGGGGAGGGACCGTGGGAGGGCTCCAGGGTGTATCCAGCCCACCTCACTCAGTCCCGATCAGCCGGACCCCAGCAGCAAGCTAACCTACCAGTCAGAGCATCTGCTCCCTGGTGGTCAGTGCACATCATACCGAGCGATTGAGCAGCCTTAGCATATCAATAGCATATTACGCTTTGATTGGTTGAATGGCCAACCGGACAACCGGACACTTAGCATATTAGGCTTTTATTATATAGGATTAACTAACAAACACCGCTGTATTCACCCTTCAATAACATCTCTAATGAAAATCTGGACCAATGCTGTCCAGAAGAACTTTCTGCAATGATAAAAATGCTCTATAGTTGCCCTAGTTGTGCTAGGTTTTGCTCATCAGTTAGAGCGGCCGGTTTGATTCTGGTCAGGGACACATACTAGTACCTAGGTTGTAGGCTCTATCCCCATCCCTAGTCCAGGCTGTTGTGGGAGGCAACCAATTGATGTGTTTCTCTCACATTGATGTTTCTCTCTCTGTCTCTCCCCCTTCCTTCCACTCTCTCTAAATATGGTAGCCACTACCTACATAAGACTATTGAACACATAAAATGTGACTAGTGTGACTGAGGAAGTGAATTTATCATTTCATCTAGGTTTAATTAATTTAAATAGTTATATTTGGCTAATGGCTACCATATAGGACAACTGAGATCTAGACTAATATAACTCAGAGTAACATTTTACTATCTGGTATGGTTAAGGAACAAAGTGTTCCCTACATAAGTTTTTCAAAAGTTCATTTGCATCTAGCTACTAGCAATTGAAATGCCTTAAATCTAGGTCATATATTCATCTATCAAACAGGCCTTTCTAGTTTGCTATATCTGAGCTCCCATGGACTAGAACAGCAGTTGCCAACTGGTGGTCCGCGGACCACTGGTGGTCTGTGAGGTCCAAAAGATTGGCGACTGCTGGTTTAAGAAAACCTTTGGAGCAGCATCGCCCACTGGTGGTCCGGACCACTGGTGGTCTGTGAGGTCCAAAAGGTTGGCGACCGCTGGACTAGAGAACCAAATATTCATATTATTTAAACAATATCAGGCTTAAGACAAAATAAGCTGAGTAAAATACCCATTAGGATAGCTAATATCATCAACAAAACAGAAAATAAAGAGCCTTGATGAGGATGTAGAGAAATTAAACCCTTGTGCATTGTTAGCAGGATTATAAAATTATGCAGCTACTGTAGAAAAAACAGTACGTATAGTGGTCTTTCAAAACATTACACATAGAATTACATTTGACCCAGCAATTCAACTTCCAGGTATATAACCAAAAGAACTGAAAGTAGTGACGCAAAAACAAATACAGTCCTACTTCAAAAATATTGCAAGTTTGGTTCCCAACCACCACACAAAAGCGATTATCCTAAGACAGTGAATATTGCAATGAAACACATCACACAAATATTTCTGTTCCCCAGTGCATATAAAGTTATGTTTACACTACACATAGACAAGCACATGAAAAAGTGCTGCACATGTCATCAGGGAAATGCACGTTAAAACAATGAGATACCACTCTACATCTATTAGCATGGCCAAAATACAGAACACTGACAACACCAAATGC